CACATGGTGGAGCTGAAAAAGGAGTGTTGTTTCATTTTCCTAAACAGGGCTCAAGTTTCAAAAGTTTGGCACAAACTGTTGTATAGCAAGCATTAAAGTATATGAACAATAAAATACAGCATTGTTTATAGTTGTTAGAGAGCTATATACAATGCTGTAACTTGAAAGATTGATCCCATTGATGCTATCAGATTTGAGAAGTGGTGGATTCTCCATCTCTTCTTGTCTTCACATCAAGCCTGGATGCCTTTCTTTAGTCAAATACATTTTCTCTCAACACTGGGGTAGTCATTTGAAATTCTATGGCCTGTGTTATACTGCAAGTCAAGCTAGATGATCCAACGCTCTCTTGTAGCACTCAAGAAAATAAGTGATTTCTTGGTAGCTTAAAACAATATGCCTTTAATAGAAAAAGTTCCACTGGAAGTGTTGTTCACAATGCATTATTCACTTTACAGGGATGAAGGGAGTTTTCTCCTATATAATCATCCAGTTGCTGGTGATGTAGAAATGAGAGAGAAAACTCATTTTTCTGTAAATGTATATTTGATCAGTACAGCTATGGGCAAAAATAAATGTTTCTTACCATGACGATTTCATTTTCCTAGAAATAACTGTGCTGGACTGGAGCTATTATCCATCTTCCAGTATATACTCTTTTACATACAAAATAGACTTTTACACAATAAATGAATAAAAAATTCATTTTGGATGACACATACTATTTGAATTCCATAGTTTGGTTTGAGGAGAAAGGTTTAGCGTTTTTGCTATATAAAGCTACCCCTTCCAGTGTTAAAAGGATCATTTAACTTGAAGTCCTTGTTTTTATGTACTGGCAAATGCCTCCCTCTGCAGGAAATTGGAAGTCAATTGCAGCTACACGCTGTTGCAGCATAAAAAATAAATGTCCAAGAAACAAGATAATATAATTAGTAGAGGAGAATCCACTTAATGAGTTCTTTATTAATGGCATAATGTATCTAGGCTCTAGTTCTGATTTGGTCAATGATTCAATCTGTGATGTCAGGCAAGTCAATGCTTTCTGTGCCTCAATTTCCCCATCTGTAAAATAGTGATATTACCCATCTTTGTAAAGCACTTTCAAGCCTTCAGATGTTATATAGGGGGAAGTATCATTAGTTAATACTATTTTGTTTATTAAATGGAATCCCTACTATTGCCTGCAAGCCTGGCACCAGTACTGTGCTTAAAAGGTGTTAAATTTAGCACAAGTTTCCTGCTGTGCAACTTTAGTTCAGTTCTGGCTCATGCCCTAATCTATGGCTGCTAGGTGAGTCTATATTACCTAGTTTCATTTAGGTAGCGCCTGGCTGTTAAAGTGCAAGACTGAGAATAAAGAGGTCTGAGTTCTATCTGCCACAGATTTGTGGGACAGTTTGTTTGTTTTTAAAAAGGTAGTAGTTGGCTATAGACACTTTTGAAAATTCCACTAGGCACCTAACTCCCACTGGGGATTCCCAATAGTGGAGATGCCATTTAATAAACAGTAATAAATAATTATACTTTGCACTTATGTAGCATGTATAAATGCTCTAAAGTATTTTACAAAGATGGGAGTTAGACCGCTAGGTGCTTTTGAAAATCCTACTAAGCATCAATCTGCAGCTTTAGGTTTCCTAAATGCCTTTTTTAAATCAGGCCCTGGGTGACTCTGTGCCAGTCATTTAATTGCACTGTGCCCTGGTTTCCCAATCTGTAAAATGGGGATAATAGTTACCTTACAGAAGTTCTGTAAGTATTATTGTAAAGCTCTCCGAGTTCCTTGGATAGAAAACACTTTGTAGGTACAAATATTCAGTTAGTATTAAGGAATTAACTATATGGAGTACTCTGGCAGCTGCTCTCCCTGCTTCTGCCACAGAACCCTGCTATAATACTGCATCTGCAGTAGCAGGCTGGTCGCAAATATGTTAGGCAATTCTTTATGAAGGAGCAATATTCTTGATAAGTAGCATGATGCTGTTGGTTAGAGTGCCAGCTTTCAGCACCAAGATTCAAATCCTGAAGGGGTCACTTAAATATTTAATTACAATGCCCCCCCCCGCCATCTTCAGAAGTGTCAGAACAGTACTCAGTGCACAGGACAGGGGCAGGATGGGAAAAGGTATTTTGCAACCAACTTTGACACGCCAAGCCCCAGAGCTATTCAGCCATAACCATAAATTTTAGGCCTTGGGACTGCTCCAAGTTGTGGTGGCTTGTAACAGCCCCACTAGCAGAGACTGCCAGAATGCCACAAACTCTGGCCATACCCTGTGGCTCCCAGCATACACCTTAGTAGGAGATGGGGAGGGCACAGAGTTGCCCATGTCAACTTCCCTGATGCTGGGGGAATTCTCTGACTTAGCGCAGCTTTAATGGTTAATTGGTACAAAGGGGGCTTAGCACAGGATGACCCACACACACAAAAATAAAGAATCTTTCCAAGATGTGTTATATACCCTTGCAGTGTCCACTCTCAAAACTAAACTATTTATTGTATCGTAGATTTGTAAATGGATTCCACTTTTTTTGACCAGCATGTACAGTATTAGTATAAATCACAGTACACAATTCAATTGTTTTCCTATAATTTTTCAAAATTCAATGAGAAAAGCTTTGTGACAACTGTCCTTCCTGAAGATTAACAGGTTCCATTGAGAGATTTCTCAATTATCTGAAGATTGTGTAACCAGCACATTTGTGTCAAGTATCAAAGGAGAAGGCACTCAGGCAGATGCATTTGTTGAGATTTTTTTAAATTGCTTACTCTATATAAAGTGTATAATACACATGCTACACATGACTTCAAACCCACAAATGGATCAACATTCACTGTGCATCAGCCATTTCTTTAGCTTATTCCTTACAACACTGTTAACTCCAGAATGACCAGATGAACTTTCCTTTCAGAGGAACTAAAATTTCCAGGAATGAATACATTCAGCTTACATACAGCCAAGTATTGCTAATACAATTCAATTTTAACCAGTTCTTTTTAAGCCTTTATACTTTTGGTCAGTCAGCATTTTGTACAGCAACAGTAGCTTGAATTACCTTAGGGAAAATTATGAATCTGGTTACTAAAGTCAATGATAATTGAAAAGGATCGAATTCATTCCCCTTTGCAAAGCCCATATAGTCTTTGCTCAGAGTATGAAGTGGGGGTACACAGGTTTAAACCGCCATTGTGGTTGCATGGCTGCAATGTAGTCCCTGCAATTATTATTCTATCCTACAGGTTTCATACAAAATGTCTGATACCCCACCCAGCTCATTAGATGAGTAGTCATGAAATCCCATAACCATCCCACAGCCTGCCCCAAGAAACCCTCCCTGCTGGCCTATTGGTAAGTGGCAAGGAGGCCCCGCATGTCCTCTACACTCGTGATCACTCTACATAGACAACAGGCTTTAATGTCCCAGAGGGCCTTGCATGGCCCACCCCACACAGGAAGATTCCCTCAAAAGCATTACAGGATTTTTTCACACTTTTGTACAGACTACTACAAGTGTTATGTTTAACACTTATGGAATGCTAATCCTGGGGGAAGGGTTTTAAAAAGGTTATTAATAAATATACTATCAGTATTAAATGAAGTATGTTTTCTTGTATATGTACAAAACTCAGCATATTTTCACATATGCACAACTGACTGGTTAAAGAGTGCTTCAATATTAAAGAAATCATCATGAAAATTATTCAAAAATTAATCTGAGCGAAGACAAAGGATTTCTGATACCCCGAATTCAAATTCAAAATTGCAGATTATACCAGGCAATTTGTGCCTCACTCTCAGGTTAAGATTCCCTGTTCTAAGGAATCAATTTAATTGAACATTGTACAATATAATAAAAACTGAAGTACTTTTTTCTTATACCAAAAGCAAAAGTGTGCTAGACTGACGTTTTGAATTCCTCTCCTATACCAGCCATCCATGTTATTCCTGAACTGACAGATAAACAATATTAGCATTCTGATTATATTTGCTTCGTGTTTAAGCTTCACTGACCAAAGGAACAAGAGTCCCAAGGTTGGTCCACGTCAAATTTTCTTATGTAACAGTGAAACATGCCAAGCTAGTTTATGAACCTCCACCCCATTCACACAGCATCTCTAAAATAAAGTTATTTTACCCTCAAAGCATGTGCTTAAAGATAAGTTCATATATGTAAGTGCTTCCGCTGGGGGGAGAATGAGGCCCTGTCTCTAAATGTTGAGCATTCAACAATATATGCAAACCCCACAAATATCTTTTAAAGAACAGCATAAATTTAATGTCAAAATATTTGAATTCAAGTACAGAAATTAACACATGATTTCAACATTAAAAAAAAACCAGCACAACTCTTTTTTAAAACAGAACTATTATACACAGTTAATACCAAAACACAGATGAAGCTTAACAATTTTAACTCTGAATAAATTAACAGCACAAAAAGTAAGATAATTTACTCTATTACTAAAACTATGCAAAGGACCACAATAGTAAATTATTTCTTTAAAGTTAAAAAAAAAAGTTTCTTAAAATCTCTCTTTTGCATCATTTTCCGGCCACATAATAGTTGCCTTCTCGCTAAATAACTACTAATCTTCAACATAACAGCGATCCTTGGTAACAAGATTACAACCAATATTTGCACAGATTAAATTAAAGAGATACTATTCAGTAAAGTAATTATTAGAAAAATTCTTAACATAAACCACTGGGTTCTATTGCCCACACTTAGACCAGGAACCATAAACAGATAAAAGAGCATCAATCTACAGTACACAGGCCAAGAAAAGAAACTTTTTTGAACTTTATCTTTTGACAAATGCTTAGTAAAATACTTATATTTAGTGAAATGCGAAAAGTTCCCTATATGGAAATAAATATATTTTACTCATGAAAATGAATAGTGTAGACCCAATTAAAAACTAAAATTGAAAACTTTCATATTAATGCTGTGCAACTTTTTCTTCAAAAGAATGAGGCCTCATTAGAGATATATACTCACTGTCCAACATGGCTGCCATTAGCAAGCAGAATTGTTGGTGATAAGGGGTAGCTTGGATAAAAATAAGGCCTTGATGTGTATGGAAGCACGCTGGGTGTCCCAGAAGAGAGAGTGGCACTAACAGGGGAAATGCTATTTACTGAGCTGCGACGAAAATTGTAGTCTGTAAATAAATATATGAATAGTTACTTTGCATGTAAGTCTATAAATTCAAATTTAATTCAAAAAGACAAAATAGACTACTACACAAAAAAATCATTTTCTAACATGTTTCAATCCTCAATATTTTGATGATAGCAATGGAGACTATGCTGATTTGTCGCATTGCAAATCCTGTTTTACCAGTATGAGACACAAATACCTGCACTTCACTGATATACTTCTATACCAGGACCACAGATTTGACTGGAAAGGTATCTTTCCACTAACAAATTTGTTTTGCATCTTTCTACCTTTGCAGAAACAAATCTCTGATTTATATTACTACCGCAAGATACTAATTTTCTTCCAAATTAGATCTGGTACAGAAATACTGGGATTTCATCTCTGAAAGAAGAGGTGTAACCAGTTCATTTTTGCCTTTTTCTAAGATTTATTATTATTTACAATACAAACTGATAGAATCTTCTCTAAAACTACAGAAATGTGGAGGGTGAGGTATTCTAACTAGATTACTTTGCCAATATTTGATTTACATATTACTGCAAACCTTTTATAAAAGTCTAGTTTTACTTACCATTTAAAGTATTACTGGTAAATACAATTTTAAATAAATCATCCCTTTAAAACAAAAACTCTATTAATCAAACATTAGCAAAAAGACAAATAAAATGTAATAAATTTCACTAATCTTTCAATTAAACCATTTAAAATACAGAGATGCTATTTGTAGAATTGTTGTTTCCCAATAAACACATATTTTATTTCCCAGTAATTCTCGTACACCATACAGTGTTATCCTTTTCTCCAAAATAATAAATTCTAAACTTTTCAAACATGCAACTATGCTCTTCATGGTAGTTCAAGCCAAACAAGGTGCAGAGTTGATTCTAGAAATAAGGAGACCTTCTGGCTTCCAAAAAGCATTGTACACTATCTCCAGAGGGAATTGCAAATAAAGTCAGTTTAAGGTGAAGGTTAAGGTCTGCACTGCAGTATCCTCATAATTCTGTAAATGCTGTACCTCAATTTTTTGGCAAGCATTAACTTAATGAAGTCAATGAGAATAAATGTTTAGCCAACAGGAATGAGACCAACAGCAGTAGTGTAAGCTCAAGCATCATCAGAAAGGACCTAGTTAAGAAAAAAAATGGGAGAAATTTAAAAAATGGAAACTATTTAGAAAGTTTAGTTTCATTTTCAGTATTGAGACTAAAAAAAAAGATTTTTTTTTCAAAATTTAATTTTCCAACAAACAACATTCACGGTGGAAATTAGCAAAAACGTATACATCAGTAAGTGATGAGTTTGCAAGCAAAGGTTCTGATCCTTCACTGACAACTGTGCAGGCAGACCCATGCACCAGAGTTCCAGTGCAAGATGAGAGTCAAAAATTAAGATACTTTTCATCAAGTAATTTTTAAAAAAGCGTCTTTATGACTTCCAATGACCAGTTATTACTAAGTTATTCAGAAACATTTCTTTACACTGTTCTGGCTCTGAAATGGGGTCATGTACATTAACATCAGGCCCATAACATCTTCTGATAAATACAGAATATAATTTGTTTATACTGTATAGAAGATAAATGCTTTATATTATATTATTCCAGTTATTCATATATTTCATGTGCTATATATCAATTTTGTATTATCAGCCTTTTCATTTTACTTGTTTTTATTAAACACATTAAATATACATTCTGAAAATAACACATTTTGGGGTGCCATATTCTGCCACACTGAGTAATTATTCATGAACTATCCTACTGATTTCAGTGGGACTACTCAGAGTAAGGTTGTAACTCTGGTGACATAACCTGGCCATTTAGCAGCAGAGTAAAATGAGCCAACTTCATTTCTACTAAAACTCCACTGAAGTGGATCAAGTTATGCCAGGGATGAATTTGACCCAATGTCGCCAAGTTTATATTTCTTACCTGTTATTTATTTTCTCCAAATTCTCCTACACAGATCCAGACTGATGAGGTTATGTTCCCTGTCTGTAAGCAGTGGAGACAGAGAATAACTGAATCTTCAAGACAATGTTGTGATCCCTACTTGAAGTATATGGAACCCTAGGAGACTCGGTTACAAAAAATTCCCAACAGTATAATTAATACTCAGGAATGAATAAAAAACTTCATATTTTCAAAATGCCTTAAAAGCATTTGACTATTTAACCCTGCAACAACTCAGTTGAGTAGGTACAAGTATCCCCCTTTAAACAGATGGGGAAACTGAGGCAAAGAAGTTAAAGACATGGTTCTCAGAAGTGCTGAGCACCCACAACTCAAACTGAAATAATTATTAATAATCCATTCAGTCTTCTAGAGAAGATAAGACCTTAATTTCTAATGTAAGAGGCAGTATTTGACTTTTTTTTTAAAAAAATGATGCTTTCTTTATACATCACAAAGAAACAACAAAAGGTATTAGCCCAATTTCTTTTCTTTCACATCACCATTAAACTTTAGCACTCTGTGCCCAAAAAGGAAGGCAGAGATTGTCTTAGTACAATGAAAGCCTCATAGCACAAGAAAGTATTTTGCATCTGTATGTATAAGACCTGATTTTCAAGTGAGAAGCTCCAAGTTTGAGCATAAAATTGTTTGTGGTTGCAAAATGCACTCAAAATTGGAGGTCGGGTTAAGGTCCTTTTAAAAATCAGACCCATAAACTTCACCTGTGCAGCACCTAACATATTCAAAACCTGACTGCAGACTAGCTAAAGCAATTGCACAGGTGAGCAATGGGGCTCTTTACAGGTAGCAGTACTAGAGGGAGAGCAATCTCAGTGGGAAGGGGTGGGGAGTAGCCTTGGCTTCAACCCCTCAACACACTAACCAGTGTAACTGAGTTAGTGCACTGGGGAAAGTAATCTGTACCAAATATAAACTGGTGCAGATTATTTGCCTCCTGGATTTCTGGGGCACAACTATAAACTGCCCTTTGCTCAGAACTGTGACAAAGCCCTCACCTACTAAATATTCACAAGCTTCTAAATTACAGACCACTAGCACTCACTGTAAAGAGCACCCTGTAACAATATAAATCCTTCCAAATAAACTAAGTCTTCTCTTTACAAGAGACTTTTTGAAAAAAAGACAGAAGAATCAATTTCTGGTATACAGTGTATGATTAAATTACCTTCAGGAAAAAAAAAAAGAATAATGAGTTTGAGAGCAACTCATTTAAGTCTGTAATTTTAACAACAATCAAAATGATACAAATCTTTTTGTAAAAATTCTAACTAATAATGTTTCAAGAAAGAATCAAAGTAAAGCACAGGATAATATTAGTAGCTTAAAAAGTCTGGTGATATCAGGATTTCAGATTATGGAAAAGGTTCCCTACTTCGCTCTAATTGCTCCAACAAATACATCTTGAATTTTGATAAAGCAAACTGAGACCAGACCATATTGAAAAAAAGTATAAATCAATTATATGGCAATATGAAAGGCTTGGTGTTTAAATTATAGCACCATGAAAGAAAAGGTTTCTTTATTCACTAATATGTAGAAAGATGGATCCTACTGGTATCTTCAAGGAAATAATATGATTAAGTATTTATGTTGAAATCATTGCTTTAAAAGCCAGACCAAGAGCAAAAAGTTTCTCGGGGGAATTATCTATTTTGTCCTTGATTTATAAGGACTATGTTGAACACAATAACTGAATTTATATTTTTAGATAGCCTCTCTGTGCTTCAGTTCCCCATACTTCTGAATTTATACAGCTAGCCATACAACATGAGAAAATGATGAATTGGAATTAAAACCCAAGAAAGCTGTCATTTAGAAATTGTAATGAAGATAAACTTTCTTATACACTCATTACAATGAGCAGGAAAAGAAAAAATAAAAAGCATTGAAGAAAACACTAAAAGATTTACTGCAGGTAAATTCTAGGATCACTGTAACCTATCCATGACAATCAAAATCTGTGCAGTCGGCAGTGTTTATGTTTCTGAATATTCCTCTGAATTAGGATGAAAAGACACTGGCGTAGGTAGTCTGTTCCCACATTAAAAACCATTGGCAGCAACTATGAGTCAAGGAATATTCACGCCGAGGTGACCCTGCATGGTCATGTTAGAGGAAGGGAACAACGTATACCTTCCCCATGGAGCAGCCACCCGCAAACCTGCTGTATCCCCTAGGATTCACAGAAGGACACAAATCCTCACAGCAGCGCCAACCTTTTGCATCTCCCCCCTGTGAAGTGAAGCTCCATTACAGCCACAATGCCAGGGACTCCACCTCTAGCTGTGGAGGCTCCCGAGGACCACCAAAGGCTCTGCAAGAGAGTTTATGCAACCTGTGGTAAATGGTGTGAGTGTTGGGTGATAGCGACATGCTTCCCCTGCTCCCCCAACCTTTCTCCCTGCAAGAATCTCTGATCACAAACATATCACTCTGCAGGGCTGTGGGAGGGCAGTTTGGGGCACTGATACAGAAAGACTGAGTCCCTCTTCTGCACACAGGGAGATCCACACATGGATCTCAAGATGAATGATGTGGTCCAAGAGAAATGGAAATCCCATTTCTAAAATAATGCGTCTATTCTCGATACCCATCAGTATGTTAAAATACTACACTGACTTCCACTTTTCTGTGATGGCTATCAGGTTCATTTGTTGGGTGCCTGATTGATTTTAAAAATAATCTGATGATCCAAATATCAACTGCTAGTAAGTCAGTGAACATGGGAGTTCAAAAACCGCGCTACAAAGGACCTACGAGGGAGGGCTCCATAAAAGTTTAAGGAAGACAACATGTAAGAAGGAAAATATTTTTCTTGAACTGTGTAAACAAATGCCAGAACTACAAGACTGCTGTCTTCTCTGGTAAACACAGCAAATAATTAAATATATCAGATTTCCAATACAGTCTAAGGCAAGTTTCCAGAAGTTTCAGTTTCTTTCTGTCTCCACTACTTTCATAGAAGGAATATCATCCCCTCAGTACAGACCTATGTAAGAGAATGAAAGAGAAATATGTTT